GCAGGAAAACAGTATTGAACTACAGGCAAACTAGTGCGCATTCAAGCAACCATACATCCAATATTGCAAACGTGCCAATACTCCGTTTGCGTTACTATGCGCCTACGTAAAGACTGTGAACCACCGAAGTGTAACATGCAAGTAGTTATATCTGCACGAGCCACACGCTACGAAAATGTAATATTAGTGACTGAAGCAGAAATTATCATACTGTATAAAAGATAAGCATTTTTGTTCTTTGTTAGAGCTTATTTATTCAGAACTACTGCCGTCCTTTAAGAGTTTCATGCTTGTCTCCTGCGTGTCCAATGGTGCTAATAGGGTAGTTGCTTGGGTGCACACTAGTTTGCCTGCCTTTCAAAACCGTTTTTCTGTGCACTTTTTCTGAGTGTTCTCTTTGGTTCCGAAAACTGTCTAGTCGTTACTCCGATCTGACCCTAAACGGACGCCCTTGGAACGCTCGAACGACGCCCAACAGACACTCGTGCCGACAAAGGTAAAAGGGTATCAACTGTACGCCGGTACGCACTACCAACGCTTCGCTGCCGCGCAACTACCACCGGTCGCACGTGAACTAGGATACTGCGAGGGTCGCCGTGCCTCTACGCAGGCTCGAACCCGCGCCGCACGATTACAAGTTTGTAGCGAACGAGTTATCACTACAAAAATAGTCTTAGTCAGAGCTCAGTTGACTTAGGCAAAAACAGCCACTGATCCACGGTAAGCTTCCAACTGCTTGCGTAGCGCGAGCAGTGCGATAGTTCCTAGCCGTTTAGAGAAGTTCACCGCACAGAACAACCACAACGACGACGCACGCAGCAGACCGGGACAACAACGCAGAAGGAGATTCGAAAGAGTATGTATTGCTCGAGTTAGTTAGGACAAGCTGTACAGTAATGATGCTAATAAAGTACAATCGTAAAGACGAAATATACAAACGCAACAGAACTCCCCCTAGAGCGTGAGTTGAATTGGCGAACTCTTGGTATGCGCTGGTTTTCGTAACTCACATGTCGAAAAAGGAAAACGACTGTACCTTCGGAGCGTGTACGCTGATATACCGTGCTTTGTGACAAGTGTGGACGGGGATGAGGAAGAAACATTGGGGTTGCACCTCGGCTGATTGGGAGGGGTGCTTTGTAGCGGAGTCTGTTCAAAAACACAAGTGTCAGTAGATTGCTGAGGTGAGTTTGGCATAGGCAGGCTTCAGACGATCAGTGCTAACGGAATCTTTACAACCATTCTTGTCCAACATGAACTATTTCTCCTTACGAACCAGGACTGTGAAGGGATTTCCGTAAGGCGGTGTCAATGGTTTACGGATGGCATCGACGCGCACAAAGACAAAAGGACGGGCGCGCGAATCACAGTGAATCCATTGACTTCGGGTTTTAAGTCGAGATGGAGTAGGATGAACGTCAGTAAAGTGTTGCTTCAAGCGTGAAACATACTAACCAGTATCCACTTAGCCGGTGACTCTTGAATCTAGTGCGATTTCACCAGGAAATCTAAGTGTTGTTCCGAAGACTCGTTCAGCTGGACTGCAACCGATGTTTTCTTTTACGGTGTTGCGAATACCGAGTAGGATGATCAGTAGACGTTCGGACCACAGCGTTCGACTGCGTTGCATTAAGTGCAGCCTTGAGCTGTCGGTGGAAGCGTTCGACTATCCTGTTAGCGGCGGGGTGGTAAGCCATTGCGCGTATATATGAACAACCAAACATGCGATTGAGGTCGCGGGATAAAATGGAGCTGAACTAAGGACCTCTCTGTGGTGCCAGTAGCAGGCGTGCCAAACACGGATATCCACGGTTCGATGAAGTTTCTGGCAACTGTTACGGCTGAAACATCCCGTAGTGGCACTGCGTGAGGCAAACGCGCGAATCGATCCGCACATGTCAGCACCTAGGTAAAACCGTTGGATAGTGGAAGGGGTCCAACGATTTCGAGATGGACATGTTTGAAGCGGGCATCGAGCAGCGAGAATGTGCCGGCGAAGGTAATGGTGTGGCGCTACATTTTGCTATTCTTTCTGGTTATGCAGTGTTTCTCCCACTGTCGGATATCCGAGCGCATGTTTTGCCAGATGTAACGATCATTTGTGAGTTTCGTTGTGACGCGTATGCTCGGGTTTGAAATACCACGCAAGTGATCAAATACAATTCGTCGATATTGCTGCGGGACGAAAGGTCGAGGTTTGCCAATGGACATATCACAGTAAATTTTGGAATCCGAGTTGTCAAGAGGCAGGAGAGACAGTTTGATGGATGAATTCAACCTCAGCTGCTAGAACTTTTTACCTTCTCGTTGCTGAGCGGCGATGCCTTCATGGTTAATTGGCTGACGTGAAACTTGGTGATCAAAAAGGGACATTGCATCGGCGACAGCGTTAATGGCTGCATCAACCTGTCAAACATCGGTAGGGAACTGTGATATACAAGCAAGATGACAGGTTTCACGAAGTGAAAAACGGTCAGGTGATCCGCGAAAAGCAAAAGCGAGCGATTTGTGATCAGCAAGAACGGTAACCGGACGTCCTTCGAGCAGATGTCGTAAGTGTTTGATGACTAGATAAATAGCCAAAAGTTCGCGGCCGAACGTGCTGCATGTCGTTTGGGCGGGTTGCAGCTTACGATCAAAGAAGGACAAAGGCGTGGGCTGACCTTTTACTACTTGCTGTAGTGCAGCCCTAACGGTAGTCTACGATGCGTCGGTTTTGAGAAACAGAGAAGTTCCCACGTCGGTATTCAGGTGACTAGGCGCGGTAGCACTGGATAGAGCTTTCTTGATATTGTCGAAGGCTGTTGTTGCTTACTTTCGGCTCGAACTTACAACACCTGCCGTTAAGCAAGTCTCTCAAAGATTGGCGACGTCTGTAGCACACTCCGAAATAAAACGGATATGATAATTCACCATTTCAAGAAAGCGAAGTAGACTTTCAAAGGATTGTGGCATAGAATAGTCAGCAGTGGTTGCGTTTTTTCGGGGAGCAGACTGATGCCGTCGCAGGCACAGCGTGTCGACGATCTAGCGCTTCTGAGGATCTTACCGAAATGCAACTTTTGACTGTGCAGCGGATGAGGTCGCAGTTGGACAAGCCGACAGACAGTATGGCTTGTTGCAAACTTGACCAGTATTAGTCGATATTCAGAAATGGAAAGATAGTGGGAATTTCACGAAGCCTCTGTTAGTACTGCGTTTTGACCGTTAAATCTTCCAACTTTTAGGTGTCCAGTCGGGTTTGTTTAGCCCTAGATGAGCCACCGAAACGTATTCAAACTGTCGCACACACCAATGCATGACCGGTTTCAACGTACGTTGACCAAAATGATCTGCAGTCGCGTACACTGCCGCACCACCTGCCACTTGTGGTTCTGTGAGCAATTTGGGACCAGAGCTGAGTTGACAATGTAAGACGTTAGGTAGCATAGTGGCTTCCGGGGTGATGAAAGTTCGTAGTGGATAAGAAATGTTTGTGGTCTGCACTTTAACTGAGCACTCTCTCTCCGTTGTCAGAGCGAACATCATCATGCTCGTACGGTCCACCGAGATGGCGTTCACCTGATAGCAGCCGACCATTACTTGCGTTTAAATCTCTCGCAATAACAACGATGTCTGTTTTAGGCGCCCTTAGGAACAGCCAATGAAGATATTGATAGAATTGGTCCTTGATTGTATCTGAGCTGCATTCAGTGGCGCGTATACGGAAAACGCGAAAAGAGCACACTTGTCTGCTCGATATCTGTTAACCGTGCAAGAGTCACGGAGCCCCATAGCTCAAAGGCGACTGTTGATTGGAGTCCAGTCAAGGACGGCGGCCTCAGCTCTAACACAGGGCGATCCCAACACCAGTTTGCCCGGATGCGTCAGACTCAGCGTAACCAGAAAGACGAAGGTACAATCGGGTGTATGATTGGACTGGTGACGACAGGTGGTATACTGTGTCACTCAGATAGCAGATATCGATTGCAAGGGTCTCTTGCGTGCATGCACGTCCAGCCTGCTGCCATATCTGCAATAATCAGCGTATGTTAAAGGCTTCCAGTTTGAACTGCATTCCAGTAGCGAAGATGACAGACTTCGGGGCTGATAGCTCCCTATCGAAGACTGTGTGCTTGAGGTGACGGATGGTAAGAGAACAACTTCATCGGTGGAGGTAGCTTTGTTCAATGTTGAAGAACCAATTAAACATTGGGGGTAGAAAATACAAGGATAGGCTGGGTAAATTGGTTGCGTGTGTTTGTGAGGTTGGCCTACTTTTATGGCAGTGGATCATCATGAGAACGGATTCCATGATTCGTCAGTTAACGAGATACTACCCAGTTGCCTAGGCTGAAGTAGATGGATTGTCTTAGGTGACTACGGCCCTCAGCCTTTGACCTTGGGACCTAACCTGCAAGGTAGCAGGGCGAAATAAAGTTTTCGCACCCATTGAGAGCTGGTGACTGAACATACAGTTCATACGCAAAACCATACCAGGTGCCCAACATTCCCGAAATCAAACGCAGGATGCAGTGCTCGGATTGCGTGCTGATGTGCAATGTTTCCGAGGAATACAAGGAGCAGTGAGTTTAGTCATTGGCGGGTCACATCCACCACGTCACAGTGTTGTTAGGCTGATCATTGTGGCTTTTTATAGGTAGAATGCTTGCCAGGCGTAAACTCACCACGTCCTGAAACCTTGCCACCGAACCATTCGCCGGAACGGGAAATGCCAGAACTGCCCAGCTGGCATCACGAGGAGGTTGTTCGGAAACCAAACATCGCTTGTATGTCCCCATTTTCTTCTCCGTTACACGCTTTGAAAAAGCATATCTTCACAGAGCTGCGCTGAGCGAATGGGGTTGATTGTTACGTGCGCTTCCCACAAGCAGTGTTTATTTTTATACCTTGATGCACTTGCTTTTCTCTTTATATTCGTTGCGTACCGTGCTTCTTGTCCTCGGCATATTTCTTTTTGAACCACCCATCATCACTTTCCTTTTTTCTCCTTGTTTTTAGAGTTTTTATTTCAGTAACTCCCTCTGAGGAGTATACGACACCCTGCCAGGGAATCTTTGGTGCAATGACTTGGGGTTTCAATACCTGTGGCCCAAACGAGGCTTTGGTTGTTTCAGGTACTGCAGATTCATTATTTTTATCCTCCTGTAGGATGTTGTTACAGTCGGCCTCTGCTCGTTCCTGGTGGCAGGGTGTTTGTCTGGCCAGGAATCCAGCGAATCGACAGGTAAGCACCCCATACACTTCGACAACGCTACTGAATGGTTTGTCCTTTTTGTAGCAATTGAGTGTTTCTACGGCATAATACTATGCACCTGTTTATTTCCTCAATTATATAGTTATCTTGCTTCCCACCACCTATGACACTGCGGCTGACCCGATGTTTCCACTCTTTAATGCCTGTCCACATGAACTTAGCAATGGGAATTTGTAACTGCAGTTTTTTCCCGAAGACTTTAAACCCTCTAGTAAATGTTCTCTGATTTCTGCTTCGTTAGCATTCTTCCGTTCACTATATGCGAACTTGTGACACCATGATTTTCTCTTTCCGCCATCTTAACTCGTTAGCACAGCTTGTTTTTAAAGGTTTTCTATTCCACCATGGAGTAGTAAAAACAGCGTTGATAGTAAGCATGTACTGTCAGGTGCTTTACTTTCTGTTACCTTGTGCTAGGTTTGGCTGTGCCGGACGTAATATCTACTTGTCATACGCGGTAGTTCCGATTATTGGCTCCTGCGGAAGATTTAACAGACTATCCTCGTGGGTTACTAGAACCGAACCGTCACGACGAAACCGGATCTTAACCTGGTGTGACGCTTTGCATAGCTCATCGACCCGTTGAGCTATATTGAATGGGGCCCTTTGGCCTCTTAAGAGGTACTCCTACCAGGTTGGCCAATGGTTAGACGTCAGACAAACTCCTGGTCCTCCAGGTTGGGAGTTTGGAATACGATAGCTTCCATTTCTGTAAAAACGGAATCGTTGCTACATTTGCTGCTTTGTGTATATCTTTTGAGCTAAAGACTTCGGTTGAAGACCCTAATCGTCCGGGCGCCCTGGCAGTATCTCTGCTCCCATACAACCATGACAGTTTACCCAAACTCGAACTACATCCTGCGTCAGTCGTCACGCAGATTATCAAGGGTCGCCTTATCTGCTGCATACAACAGGGCGGATGGGCGAAAACATGCTAATGCTGGCGCATCCTTTTTTTCTTTTCCGCTTGCTTCCCTCCCAAGCCTCATTACTAGGCTTCCTCCTATAATTCCCAGTTTAATTGACAACAACCACAATGTCACTTGAGTCATACTAACTGCAGCTATGTTCCAGCACCACCCACTAGACACTTATCATCCACGGTCCCTTATAAGGCCACACTGTCCCGTTTCCATGGTGGCGTTCAATGTTCGCACTCTAAGACAAATAGCTCAACAGACTGCACTCGAATGCACGTTAGACACGCTGGGTATTTATATGTGTGTATGAAACTAGCGTAAATGATGCTCACGGCGTTGTCGAACTAACTGAACCCGCTTTGTCCACTCGCTATCGGCTGCACGCTGATGTGACAACCACTGGTTAAGCTGGAATGGGCATTGTTCTCAGATTTAAGCCCGACCCATTGTTGGTTGATTGGATTTCCGTGAACAGTCGTTTGTGTGCAGTCCGTTTGACGATATCAACTTAGATTAATTCACGAAGTAGTACAATACGCTGGTCTGTCGCAACGAGACTGGACCTTAACATGGTGCGACTGTTTGTGCACCTCATTGACCCATTGAGCTATAATGGGTGATGCCTCCGGGCACCTTGAGAGCTACTCCTACCAGATTGGTCAATAGTGAGAGGTCAGACAAACCCTGTCTCCTGGGTCCCCAGGTTGGGGGTTTGAAATGGGATGGCGTCCATTTCTGTAAAACTAAGTCATTGCCACCCCCCCGCTGCCTTTCGGACAGGCTTTTGAGCCAAAGGCTTTGGATGAGGACCCTAATCATCCTCCTGTCTAGGTCTGGGCGCCCTGGTAGTATCCCGGCCCACATACAACCATGACATTTTCCTCAAACATAAACTTCATCCTGCATCGGTCGTCACGCAGATTATCAAGGATCACCTTATCGGCTGCATACAGCAGGGCGGATAAGTGAAAACATGCTACTGCTGGCGCCTCCCTCCTTACTTTTCCACCTGTTTCTCTTACTCTCATTCCGACCCCCATTACTAACCTTCCTTCTATAATTCCCAGCTTAATTGACAGCAACCGAAATGCCACTGGAGTAGAGCCATCTGCAACCACCAACCCCCAGCACCTATCGGATGTCTATCGGCAAAAGTCTCTTGTAAGACCACGCTATCCTGTTTCCATGGCGACATTCAATGTTCGCACTCTAAGACAAACATGTCAACAGGCTGCACTTGCATGCACCTTAGACACACTGCGTATTGATGTGTGTTGTGTGTCCGAAACTAGGATCAATGACCCTAATGGGGTTGTTGAATTAACTGCATCCGTCGTATCCTCTCGTTATTGGTTATACGCATCCGGAGACGCCGATGCGGCACTCACGGGTTAAGCTTGTGTAGGTATCATTCTAAGCTCCAAGGCTGAGCCATTGTTGGTGGATTGGATTCCGGTGAACAGCCGTTTGTGTGCAGCGTTTGACGAGACCAGCTAAGGTTTATCCACGAAGTAGTACAAGACGCTGTTTGTTTATGATTTCCGCTTATGGTCCCACCGACTGCAGTTCAAATGCTGTCAAACACACATTCTATCACGAAGTGAATGCGCTATTACGCAGTGCTACTAGTTCAGATATTATAGTACTTGCGAGGGATATGAACGCACAAGAAGGGCGTCTGGGCTCTTCAGAAGCTCAGCTAGGTGGTAAATGTGGGCTTAACTCCGAACGGACTGATAACGGTGATCGTCTGCTACATCTGTGTGCGGAGCACCAGTTGTTTCCTAGTAGCACTGCTTTTAGACACAATGGGCGCCGAAGTGCCACTTGGCGTGCTCCTGTAGCTGGCCAGGGATGGACCCAATTTGATCACATTTTCATAAGTTACAGATCGCCTGGTCCCATCCTGGATTGCCGCTCGTACTGGAGTACCTGTGTCGACTCTGATCATGCCTTGGTGCGCTGTCGTTTCTCCATGAACTTTACCGGAAGGCGCTCCAAACGTGCCCTACGATTGGCAATTGAGAAATTGTCTCAGTCCTCGGTCAGGCAAGCCCTTCAAGACGCACTGCATGCTGAACTTCCGCAGTCTTGTCTTAATGACGCTGAGCTTCATTGGAATAGGATCTCGGCCGCCATGCACGATGCAGAAGCATTTGCTTGTGGCACTATCAATCGTCACCGCAACAGCCACTGGATATCCGAGAGGTCGGTGAACCTGTTGGAATCTAGAAGAAACCTCCAGACTGGCTCTGAGCACAATGTGACCCGACGGGCTATTAGGCGCGAACTAAAGCAGAGCGTACGTACTGACAAGGAAGCTTGGTGGACCAGTAGGGCTCAAGAAATGGTGGAGGCAGGAGCAGTAGGCAATTACTGCAAACTCTTCCAGTTGATTCGCACCATTGGTACCAGAAAACCAAGCGTCAGTGAGACAATCAGAGACAGTGAGGATGCACTGATACACAATAATGAGCGCCGCATGGCGCGTTGGGCGGAACACTTTCAAGATATGTTCAGCTGGCCCCCTGTTCTCCGACCTCGTTTTACTCAGGTGATGCAGGACGAGCCATGGACGGTTTGTTTAGAGCCTCCGTCGGAGGCCGAGGTCCGAAACGCGATTACAGCCCTCAATTGTTTTCGTGTCGCTGGCCCGGATTCTTTCCCACCTGCACTATTGAAGGATGGAGGTGAGGTCCTCTGCAAAGGGCTCACCTCATTCGAATGGATCTGGAAAGAAGAGAGGGTCCCGGCTAACTGGAACGAATTGATTATAGTGACAATATACAAGAAGGGCAGTCGCACAGACTGTTCTAAACACTGGGGTATTAGCCTTACGCGAATTTTGACAAAAGTATTGGCCTCGATTCTCGTTCGTCGTTTCACTGCGGAACGGGAATCTCGGATTAGGGAAGAGCAGGCCGGTTTCCGCCGAGAACGTGGCTTTCTAGACCATATATTCACTTTGCGACAGGTGCTAGAGCAGCGGCACGCATACCGCAGACTGACAATAGCTGTGTTCCTCGATTTCAGGAGTGCGTTCGATTCCGTCGATCGATCGAGTCTGTTGCAAATACTTGCGCGGAAATGTGTCCCCACGACATATGTGAATATCCTTCGTGCTCTATACTCGAACACTACAGGCCGCGTCAGGGTCTATGGTGTCCTATCGGATAGCTTTCCGACCACATTGGCGTTCGTTAGGGTTGTCCGATTTCTCCGTTTTTGTTCAATTTCGTTGTGGATTCTATCATGGAATGTTCCCTTGTGGAATCTCACGATGTAGGCGTCGAAGTGCTGCCTGGTGAAAGATTAGTTGATCTTGATTATGCGGACGATATCGTCTTGCTTTTCGACAATGTTGAGGCGGTCCAATCAACCCTGAATAGCCTGTCCAGAGTGGTCCCATTATTTGGTGTACGTTTTGCACCTTCAAAATGCAAAGTGTTACTGCAGGACCACCAGTCACTTTATGAGCCTTGACGCTTGCTAACGAGGAACTCGAGGTGGTTGATCAATTCACTTATCTTGGCAGTTGCGTCAGCATTGATGGGCGCATAGAAACTGACGTCAGCTCACCCATTGCAAAAGCCAGAGCTACATTCTTGATCCTGCGACATCTTTGGCGACAGAAGGGAGTTTCCCTTCGTTTGAAAGGACGTGTATACAAGGCCACAGTTAAAGCCGTTCTGTTCTCTGGTAGTGAGACTTGGCCCCTTCGGTCTGACTGTCTGAGGCGCCTTCAAGTCTTTGATCATCGTTGTCTGCGAGACATTGCTGGTGTCGGATGGCACCAGCGTGTCCGCAACGATGATGTGAGTATTCGAGTACTAGGTAGTGATAATCATGCTAGCTCCCTAGAACAACAGATAGCACTGAATAAGTTGCGTTGGCTCGTGCACGTGCTCCGTATGCCTGGTCACCGCTTGCCTAGGAGGGCCTTGTTTAGCCTGCCAGGTGTAGGGTGGCGCAAGGCTCGAGGTGGACAGAAGTTGACTTGGCAACGGGAAATGAAGACACTGACGACCAAACTGCGTGCTGTTGGTCCGT